TTTTTCGTTCTTTCCTTCCCGCGTGATCTTGTGTCTTTCGTTCATGACAATCTCATTCTCATAATAATGTGACGTCACGCCCAGTTCCTGTCAGCTGGATTGGCGCAATTTTGTATTCTATCATTCTTTGAGTTAGCGGTATCAAAGAACGTGGATAACAAGAAGGGACACGTTCTTTGGAAGGGACAACTCGTTATAATTGTGGCGAATGTGCGCAACAGGGGAATGCCTTCTCTTTTCATCCAATCAAAAAACGCACTAGGGCAAAAGAGAAGGCACGCCCCTGTTGCGCACTTTCGCTACAATTATAACGAGTTGTCCCTTCTTGTTATCCACGTTCTTTGATTCGATATAATACCAGAACCAATGATATCGTTGTAAACAAGGCGAATTGCAACAAACACCATTTTGACATTGACAGGTCTATTCTGCACGTTACCGAAGATTCTGTGACCGGAAAATTTTATTACCAAAAAAAGTTACCACTTCTTGTCACCGCAATTCTAGGTACGTTGGTAATGCAGTAAAAATATTCAGCAATTCAGCTATGAAGATTTGTGGAAATTCCTGTATTGCATATTTCACGGGGCAATATTTTGTTACCAGCTTATAAAATGGTAACCAAATTTACCGGTTACAAGAGAGCACAGAATGCGAAAAAGGTTTAAAAATTGACAGACAGTTTGGCTGAATTTCTTTATTCATTCTGAACGTTTGGAATAAACTTTTTTGTTTACTTATTCTTTAGAACGTTCCTGATGATATGTTAACGTATATTTCAAAAGCATTCTGTTTATTCCGGCTGTGAAATGGGATTTTCCGGAATGTATAAAGAAACGCAGCCTTTAATTACCTGTTAGAAAATTTATGTTACCAGCGCAGAATAGACCTGTAAGAAGGACCGCGGCGAAAATCTAAATTCGCAAGTAACACCAGTTTGTATAAATTCGCCTTGCTTGTATTCTATCATTCTTAGAAAGACTTGACTGTGTGAAAGGGGCATTAGGTACACCAATCCCAATGCAACCCTCCTAGAACTCGTTGTTGCCATACTGAAAATATGCGAAGTATGACAGTTGATAATTTTGACGTTTGTTCGGCCGGTTCGTGAAGTCTTGTGAGGATTTTCGCCTTCTTTAACTTTTTGGATTTTCGTTTCACAGCGTCCGAAATTTGTGCGCAAATAAATCCGCTTGAATCCAAAGAACTAGAGCCTTAACTGTCAACGGAAAATGTCCGCCTTCCCGGGTACATTCGCCTTCGACGAATATGGTCGTCCTTTTATAATTTTGCGCGAACAGGAGCGCGAGAGGCGCATCACGGGCAACGATGCTATCAAGGTTTGATATTACGGTTTCACTATGAGAAAATATTGATAAATAAGCTTAATTTTGTACATAAAATATATTTTCTTAAAAATGATCTGATCTTTTCGGTGGTGCTCTATTGTACGTGCCAGATTTTTACAGACGGACACAGCTGCGTTTGTAAATCATCTTTTTTAACAAAAATATAAGAGATATTTGCATAAGTTAACTTTAAAATATTGAGGTCAATTTAAAATGTTAATTTCGATATTAAGGTTCTANTGTTTCACAGCGTCCGAAATTTGTGCGAAAATAAATCCGCTTGAATCCAAAGAACTAGAGCCTTAACTGTCAACGCAAAATGTCCGCCTTCCCGGGTACATTCGCCTTCGACGAATATGGTCGTCCTTTTATAATTTTGCGCGAACAGGAACGCGAAAGGCGCATCACGGGCAACGATGCTATCAAGGTTTGATATCACGGTTTCACTATTAGAAAATAATGATAAATAAGCTTAATTTTGTACATAAAATATATTTTCTTAAAAATGATCTGATCTTTTGGGTGGTGCTCTATTGTACGTGTCAGATTTTTACAGACGGACACAGCTGCGTTTGTAAATCATCTTTTTTAACAAAATTATAAGAGATATTTGCATAAGTTAACTTTAAAATATTGAGGTCAATTTAAAATGTTAATTTCGATATTAAGGTTCTATTGTTTTGTTTTTAAATCCTTTAAATTACATGAAACTGTCTCAGGTGCGCCCTTATGACGTCACTCAGTGTTCATGTTTATATGCACAAGTGAGGTTAAAGACACAGCTCTTTGTTGTGACTCACTGGCGAAGGAATTTTAATGAAGAAAATATACCAAACTAATTTCGTCACCAATATTTTCGTATGACCTGCGACAGTTCTTATAAATATTTACATTACAGAGCCACATCTTGGCAGCACGTCAAATTGCCNGCTCATTGTTGTGACTCACTGGCGAAGGAATTTTAATGAAGAAACTATACCAAACTAATTTCGTCACCAACATTTTCGTATGACCTGCGACAGTTCTTATAAATATTTACATTACAGAGCCACANCAGCTCTTTGTTGTGACTCACTGGCGAAGGAATTTTAATGAAGAAAATATACCAAACTAATTTCGTCACCAATATTTTCGTATGACCTGCGACAGTTCTTATAAATATTTACATTACAGAGCCACATCTTGGCAGCACGTCAAATTGCCTCTACCCTGAAAACCTCGCTCGGTCCCAAAGGTTTGGATAAGATTATGGTTAGCTCTGATGGCGATGTTACAGTTACAAATGATGGTGCTACCATTTTGAAGTTAATGGAAGTCGATCACGAGATTGCCAAGCTAATGGTGCAACTGTCACAATCACAGGATGACGAAATCGGTGATGGCACAACCGGTGTCGTTGTTTTGGCAGGCGCTTTGCTTGAGCAGGCTGAGAGTCTCATCGATCGTGGTATTCACCCCATTCGTATTGCTGACGGATTCGAATTGGCTGCTCAATGCGCTGTAAAGCAATTGGAGGCTATTGCAGAGCCCTTCCCGATCGACCCGAAGCACAAGGAACCCTTGGTGAAGATTGCTATGACCACACTTGGCAGCAAGATCGTGAATAAATGTCATTTGCAAATGGCAACCATGGCCGTCGATGCTGTGTTGAATGTGGCCGATATTGAGAAAAAAGATGTCAACTTTGAACTAATTAAAATTGAGACTAAGGTTGGTGGTCGCATGGAAGATTCAATGCTGGTGAAAGGTGTGGTGATCGACAAGACCATGAGTCATGCACAAATGCCTAAAGTGCTGAAAGATGTAAAGCTTGCTATTCTCACTTGCCCATTCGAACCACCAAAGCCCAAGACCAAGCATAAGTTGGATGTCACTTCGGCCGAGGACTACCGTGCTTTGCGCGAATATGAGCAGGAGAAATTCGCTTTGATGATCAAGCAAGTTAAAGATGCTGGTGCTACCTTGGCCATTTGCCAGTGGGGTTTCGATGACGAAGCTAATCATTTATTGCTCCAAAACGAACTGCCTGCTGTACGTTGGGTGGGTGGACCCGAGATTGAATTAATTGCTATTGCTACTGGTGGCAGAATTGTGCCACGCTTCGAGGAG